AATCCTACATTCCTCCTGCCACTTCAGCACTTTTTAATTCTGTACCCACTGCTCTGGCCAGCCCAGTTTTAAAGTGTCCTGATATTGTTATTGTTGTTGTTTATTTTGCTTACTGTTTTTGATTTGCTTGGTATTGCTGCTGTATTATGTTTTATTGTATTGTGTTTTGTGGCTTCGGCCTATGTGAGCCGCATCGAGTCCTACGGGAGATGCTAGCGGGGTACAAATAAAGTTAATAAATAAATAATAAATAAATAATAATAATAAGAGCCTCACCACACTCCGGGGCAGAGAGTTCCATTGCTGAACGGCAACAGCAACTGCATTGTCTGTAGCCTCCAACAATTCCTCCTCTGTACATGAGGCAGGGCACAGTGGACAAGCATACAGATGAGTTGTCTGTTCTGCTCCACAGTCACCCAAGGTGGGGGATTCTTTTAGCTAGTGCCATTTTGCCAGATTGTCTTTTGATCTGCCCACTCCGCTTCCGAGTTTGTTCAGGGACTTCCAGGTTGCCCATTCTTGGTTTGCCCCTGGAGGAAGACCCTCTCTTGTGAGGGGCCATCCAGTTGGGGTTTCCCGGTTCAGCTGCCCAGAGGGATACCCTTGCTGTTGCTGGGGGGACACCAAGAGGAGTGGTATTTCCCATAAAGCTTTTCCTTGATTTGAGAGGCTGGTAGCCATGCAGTGGATGGCTTTCAGTGTTCAACCTTATTTCTCTCACATTTAGCAGCAACTTCCCATCGCACATTGGGGGGGGGGGCAATGCCAGCTAGCTTGTAGAGTTTATCAACAGGTGTAGGTTTAAGACATCCTGTGATTATTCTGCATGTTTCATTCAATGCTATGTTCACCTGCTTTGCATGGGCAGACCTATGCCAAACAGGGCAGGCATACTTGGCAGTTGAGTAAGACAAGGCCTAGGGCTGATGTTCTTATTAATTTTGGGTCTGCACCCCATGTGCTGCCAGTAAGTTTTCGCAGGATATTATCACAAGGGATAAAGAAATCTCTATAATGGATTTATTTATCAGGGCGGCCTAACAAAAGCATCATTCAATGGTAGCATCATTTAAAAAAAACCCACAGTACAATCAAAATATTAAAAATTAAAACAATTAAGACACATCCATTAAAATCGAAATCCAAAAACCAGTCCGGGTCAATTCATTGCCATAAGTTGTGTGATCTTCTTCCACTTGCTGCTCACTGATCAAACGCTTGGTCCCATAACCAGGTCTTGATTTTCCTTCTAAAAGACAAGAGGGAGGTGGCCAATCTGATATCTCTAGGGAGGGCATTCCATAGGCGGGGGGACTGCTGAGAAGGCCCTGTCTCTCATCCCCATCAACCGTGTTTGTGATAGTGGTGGGATCAAGAGCAGGGCTTGTCCTGAAGATCTTAAACTTCATGATGGCTCATGCCAGGGGACACATCCAGAACCGTTTAAAGGTTAAAATCACCACTTTGAATTGTGCTCGGAAGCTGATCGGTAGCCAGTGGAGTTGGCGTAACAAAGGAGTTGTATGTTCCCTGTACATCACTCCGGTGAGCAACCTGGCTGCAGATCGTTGGAGTAGTTGAAGCTTCCGTGCAGTCTTCAAAGGCAGCCCCACGTACAGTGTGTTGCAGTAGTCTATTCGGGATGTAACAAGAGTATGGACCACCGTGGCCAAGGCAGACTTCTCAAGGAACGAGCGCAGCTAGCGCACAAATTTTAATTGTGCAAAAGTTCTCCCGGTTCCCGCCGAGACTTTGGGTTCCAGGCTCAGCAATGAGTCCAGGATCACACTCAAACTGATTTGGTTCTGGCTACGGACTAAATGTAGTTTGGCTATTGGATCCCAATTGGTTGGTTGGTTCCAATTTTGACCACACACTTTACTACTGTTGTATCCAAAACTAGAAAGGATCCTTCTTATATTGCTCTTATACTTAATGTTACTATACAACTCTGTGCACAACAAAGGATTCCCCCAGGCAGGAAGCAACCAGGCTTTGAAGCTTCTTAAATAATATGCTGTATCTGGGTTGGTTCCTCTGGCACCTTGATAACACCTCCAAACAAAGGCTTCCCCAGGCTGGAAGCAGCCAGGCTTTGAAGCTGCTAGGCTTCTCAAATAATATGCTGTATCTGGATTGGTTCCTCTGGTGCTTTGATAACACCTCCCAACAAAGGCTTCCCCCAGGCAGGAAGCAGACACACTTTGAAGCTGCTAGGCTTCTTAAATAATATGCTGTGTCCGGGTTGGTTCCTCTGGTGCCTTGATAACACCTCCTAACAAAGGCTTCCCCAGGCAGGAAGCAGCCACGCTTTGAACTGCTAGGCATCTCAAATAATATGCTGTGTCTGGGTTGGTTCATCAAGTGCTCAGCTATGGCTGGCTTCTCTGGTGCAGCTGTCGACAAGTCTGCATATGGTTAAATGGACGAATGCAGAGGGTGATTCTCCCCACGGCTTCCTCTTCATCCTGGAAGGAAGTGACGAGCGGAGTGCCATCAGCAGGGTTCCATCCTGGGCCCGGTCCGGTTCAGGATCTTTATTAATGACTTAGATGAAGGCTTAGAAGACATTAATAAAGGGATTAATCTTCAGCTTGTTCGTTCTCATCCAGACAGCCACAGCGGTCAGGCACTCATCTAGCACTCGAGGGGCTTCCTTGGAGTTAGGTGGAAAGGAGTAGTAGAGTTGTGTATCTTGTACTGTTGTTTATGATTATTTCTGCAAACATTTTTTGTGAATATTTCTGATTATTTTGTGAATATTTTGTGACTATTCTCATGAATATTCACAAAGGTACAATGGCTTCAAACTACAAGAGAGGAGATTCCATCTGAACATGAGGAAGAACTTCCTGACTGTGAGAGCCGTTCAGAAGTGGAACTCTCTGCCCCGGAGTGTGGTGGAGGCTCCTTCTTTGGAAACTTTTAAACAGAGGCTGGATGGCCATCTGTCAGGGGTGATTTGAATGCAATATTCCTGCTTCTTGGCAGAATGGGTTGGCAGATGGCCACCTGTCAGGAGTGCTTTTGGAGCCCCCCGGTGGCATAGTGGGTTAAACCTCTGTGCGAGCAGGACTGAAGACCGACAGGTTGCAGGTTTGAATCCGGGAAGAGGAGGATGAGCTCTATCAGCTCCAGCTCCTCATACGGGGACATGAGAGAAGCCTCCCACATGGATGATAAAAACATCAAATCATCCGGGCGTCCCCTGGGTAACGTCCTTGCAGACTGCCAATTCTCTTACACCAGAAGCAACTTGCAGTTTCTCAAGTCGCTCCTGACACGACAAAAAAATGGAGGGGGGGGTGCTTTGAATGCAATATTCCTGCTCCTTGGCAGAAGGGGTTGGACTGGATGGCCCATGAGGTCTCTTCCAACTCTATGATTCTATATGCTGTGTCCAGGTTCCTCTGGTGCTTTGATAAAACCTCCCAACAAAGGATTCCCCCAGGCAGGAAGCAGCCAGGCTTTGAAGCTGCTAGGCGTCTCAAATCATATGCTGTGTCTGGGTTGGTTCCTCTGATGCTTTGATAAAACCTCCCAACGAAGGATTCCCCCGGCAGGAAGCAGCTAGGCTTTGAAGCTGCTAGACTTTTCAAATCATATGCTGTGTCCAGGTTGGTTCCTCTGGTATTTATTTTATTTGTCGTGTCAGGGCAACCAGTCACTTATATTACATTTCTAATAGAACAAAGCAAACAAACAGAATACAACATTTGTGAGTTTGGTAGTTGATTAAATGTCCTTTGACCAATATTTGGCCCCTTGGAGTGCCTCTGATGTTGCCGCAAGGAGGTCCTCCATTGTGCATGTGGCAGGGCTCAGGGTTCATTGCAGCAGGTGGTCAGTGGTCTGCTCTTCTCCACATTTGCATGTCGAGGATTCCACTTTGTGGCCCCATTTCTGAAGGTTGGCTCTGCATCTCGTGGTGCCAGAGGGCAGTCTGTTCAGCGCCTTCCAAGTCGCCCAGTCTTCTGTGTGCCCTGGGGGAGTCTATCATTTGGTATCAGCCATTGGTTGAGGTTCTGGGTTTGAGCCTGCCACTTTTGGACTCTCGCTTGCTGAGGTGTTCCTGCAAGTGTCTCTGTAGATCTTAGAAAACTATGTCTATATTTAAGTCGTTGGCGTGCTGGCTGATACCCAAACAGAGGATGAGCTGGAGTTGTCTCTGCCTTGGTCCTTTCACTATTGGCTGCCACTTCCCGGCGGATGTCAGGTGGTGCAATACCGGCTAGACAGTGTAATTTCTCCAGTGGTAGGGCGCAGACACCCCGTGATAATGCGGCATGTCTCATTAAGAGCCACATCCACTGTTTTAGCGTGGTGAGATGTGTTCCACACTGGGCATGCATACTCAGCAGCAGAGTAGCATAGCGCAAGGGCAGATGTCTTCACTGTGTCTGGTTGTGATCCCCAGGTTGTGCCAGTCAGCTTTCGTATGATATTATTTCTAGCACCCACTTTTTGCTTGATGTTCAGGCAGTGCTTCTTGTAGGTCAGAGCACGGTCCAGAGTGACTCCCAGGTATTTGGGTGCGCTGCAATGCTCCAGTGGGATTCCTTCCCAGGTGATCTTAAGAGCTCGGGATGCTTCTCTGTTCTTGAGATGAAAGGCACATGTCTGTGTTTTGGATGGGTTGGGTATCAGCTTGGTGCTTTGATAAAACCTCTCAACAAAGGATTCCCCCAGGCAGGAAGCAGCTAGGCTTTGAAGCTGCTAGGCGTCTCAAATCATATGCTGTGTCCAGATTGGTTCATCAAGTGCTCAGCTATGGCTGGCTTCTCTGGTGCAGCTGTGGACAAGTCTGCTACGACTAGCCAGGCTTTGTAGCCGAGAGTGAGCTAGGCCTTGAAGCCTCCCCGCCCATAACAGTATCGCCGCCATTTTGCGAGGCTGGGCCTTTCCCATTCCTGCCCGCCAAAGCGCGCGCAAGGGCTGACGGGAGCGCTGACGTTCTGAGGGGAAAGGCGGAAGGAGGGCCACTTCCGGCGCGGTGCCTCCTGGGGGATCTGGTTGAGGGGGAGAGAGAGAGAGAGGGACGGCGGCCATTACCCGCGTCCGAGGGAGCCGGGCGGTGGGCCTCCCTCGCGTTGCCATGGCGACGGGTGCGGCCTAGTGCTGCAGCCCCGCGGCCGGAGGGAGATGTCTCTGGTGGCCTACGCCAGCAGCGAGGAGGACGAGGCCGAGGACAGCGAGGAGGCCGAGGAGGAGGAGGAGGCAGACGAGGAAGAGGAGCCCGAGGGAGGCCTGGGCGCAGCGGGAGGCCCGAGCAAAGGCCTCTTCTCGGCCCTGCCGCCGCCCAAGGGCTCCCGGCCTCTCCCGCCCTCGCCCCCGCCTCCTCCCTCGGAGCCGGGCCTCCCCTCCAGGCCCAGGAAGAGGACGCAGCCCGTCCGCATCGCCGCGCCTCAGCTGGGCTCCGGGGACGTGAGTGGCGCTTTGGGGGAAAAATGGCATTCATTCCCTTTTGGACATCACAACGGTTGACAATACGAATAATACTTCACCTCTGAGGATGCTTGCCATAGATGCAGGCGAAACGTCAGGAGAAATGCCTCTAGATCAGTGGTTCTCAACCTGAGGTCCCCAGATGTTTTTGGCCTACAACTCCCAGAAATCCCAGCCAGTTTACCAGCTGTTAGGATGTCTGGGAGTTGAAGGCCAAAACACCTGGGGACCCACAGGTTGAGAACCACTGCTCTAGAACATGGCCATATAGCCCGAGAAAACCCACAAGAACTGAGTGATTCCAGCCATGAAAGCCTTCGACAATACAATACTTTGTTTGTATCCCGCCCTGTCTCCCCATGAAGTCTCAGGGCGGCTTCCAACATAAACAAAGCAGGTAGGCAGGTAGGGTTTGGAAAAGGCAGAGAAACAAGAGACCAAATGGCCAATATCCGGATGCTGGAGAATGGAGAGAGGCAGGGAGTTTCAGAAAAAACATCTACTTCTGTTCTGTTGACTATTCTAAAGCCTATGACTGTGAGGATCATAATAAATGGCGGCAGGTTCTTGGTGGTCTGGGCATACCAAATCACCTTATCTCTCTCCTGTGGAATAATAATAATATTTATTTATTTGTATTGTCGAAGGCTTTCATGGCTGGAATCACTAGGTTCTTGTGGGTTTTTTCGGGCTATATGGCCATGTTCTAGAGGCATTTCTCCTGACGTTTCACCTGCATCTATGGCAAGCATCCTCAGAGGTTGTGAGGTCTGTTGGAAATAGGACAATGGGTTTATATATCTGTGGACTGGCTGAGGTGGGGCATAGAGCTCTTCTCTTCTGGAGCTAGGTGTGAATGTTTCAACTGACCACCTTCATTAGCATTTCAAGGCCAGAGAAGTCAGCCATAGCAGAGCACCTGATGAACCAGCCTGGATATAGCATATTATTTGAGAACACGGAAATTCTGAACCACACCAACAACCACCATGTCATACTACACAGAGAAGCCATTGAAATCCACAGCATGTGGACAATTTCAACAGAAAGGAGGAGACCATGAAAATGAACAAAATCTGGCTACCAGTATTAAAAAACTCTAAAATTACAACAGCAAAACAGCAGAGAGGAAACAACCAGGCACATCTTACATCTCAACAAAAGATTTTCCCAGGCTTGTATACTCACCCCCAACCTATTCAACTTGTATGCAGAACACATCATGCGATGTGCAGGGCTTGAGGAATGCAAGGCTGGGGTGAAAATTGCTGGAAGAAACATTAACAACCTTAGATATGCAGATGACACCACTTTGATGGCTGAAAGCGAGGAGGAGCTGAGGAGCCTTCTAATCAAGGTGAAAGAAGAAAGCACAAAAGCTGGGTTGCAGTTTAACATTGAAAAAAAAACCAAGATTATGGCAACAAGAATGATTGACAACTGGGAAATAGAGGGAGAAAACGTGGAGGCCGTGACAGACTTTGTATTTCTAGGTGCAAAGATTACTGCAGCCAGGAAATCAGAAGACGCTTACTTCTTGGGAGGAGAGCAATGTCCAATCTCGATAAAATAGTGAAGAGTAGAGACATCACACTGGCAACAAAGATCCGCATAGTCAAAGCATGGTATTCCCCATAGTCACCTACGGATGTGAGAGCTGGACCTTAGGGAAGGCTGAGCAAAGGAAGATAGATGCTTTTGAACTGTGGTGTTGGAGGAAAGTGCTGAGAGTGCCTTGGACAGCGAGAAGATCCAACCAGTCCATACTTCAAGAAATAAAGCCTGACTGCTCATTGGAGGGAAGGATAGTAGAGGCCAAGATGAAGTACTTTGGCCACATCATGAGAAAAAAGGAAAGCTTAGAGAAGACAATGATGCTGGGGAAAATGGAAGGAAAAAGGAAGAGGGGCCGACCAAGGGCAAGATGGATGGATGGTATCCTTGAAGTGACTGGATTGACCTTGAAGGAGCTGGGGGTGGTGACGACCAACAGGGAGCTCTGGCGTGGACTGGTCCATGAGGGACTCAGGGCAGCTCACAAAAGCACTCAAGAGTGCCGCACATAAAGTAAACAATGCATAAACAATTAAACAGTGACATCATAAGTTTACAACAATGAACGCACATAAAACATTATATAATAAAATTTTAAAATCCATAAAATGCAATAATGCCTGCGGATAAAACTGGCTGTCTTCACTTAACAATCCAAAGTGCCGGAGTGAAACAATCACTAAGTAAGATGAACATTGCAAAGGGATGCTAACATCACAACCTCAGAGGTTTGTGTCTCCTGTGCCCCTCTCTAAGAGTTTTCTGTGGAAACTACCCAGCTGCATTGGGGCTTTGTGCAACTTGGACCTTTGCTGTTCCTTTGGAAATGCAACCTAAGGCGCTTTGGCTTCCTGCTCTGTGGCAAGCAAGTTTTGTATCTTGTGGCCTCTTCCCTAAACCCGTAGCGCTTCAAGGAGTTCTGGGGAGAGAATGGGTGGACTGGGCAGAGCAGGAAGTGGTTGAGGGGACGATGAGCCCCAGTTGGTGGTGGAGCTTGTGGGCTTCTCTATGCACCTGACAGTTGTGCCGTTATGACTGTTATCATTGAGTTGCAGTGGGAGGAAGCAGAAGGGGCAATGAGGAAGTCTTGGAATGGAGGTGCCATATGGAGGCTAGCTAGGATTAGGGACCAGGGAGAGGATGGTTCAGCATCATGTACTGAATTGGCCTTCTCTTCCAGCTTCTCTGAGCCTCCAAGTGGTTTGACTTCTTCAGCCCACCTGGTTTGCCCATTGCTTCAGGTACCTTTCTTGCTCAGATGCAGGGAGGTACCTGAAGTCTGTCTCAAATGTGTGTCTCCTCTATGACTATGACTTTGGGTATGAGTTTTGCCTGACTGAAGTCACCAATTGAACCTATAGATAACCCCAGCTGCTGTTTGGAAAAGGCTTCTGCAGAAAACTCTTGAACAATTCAACCCTCTTCTGGCATTGCATTCAGCACTTTCTCTCTTTCTCCTTTTTTTCAGTCAGATTCAGAGGAAGATGAACCGGCTAAAAAGCAGCCCACCTCCCAGGTGAGGACTTGTTTGCATGGCCCTCACCCCATAAGAGATGAAGGCTGTTCTATGTCTGCATGTGTGTTTCTGTATTGAGGAAATGGTTGAATGATCTGAGTTCATGTGGTGGAGATTCCAAGTCCCCAAAATGTTTTTTCTGCTTTTGTCAATTCACCTCATTAGACAAATGGATGACAATTCCCTTCACTATCCCGGAAGTAACTATTGTTCATGATTTTTTCTGCGTGTCTCCCTGGTCTTTCTTACTTCCCTCTTTTGGTTTATTGTTTATTGCTATCTATGGTCTATTGCTATATTACTTTCTGTATGTATTGATTGTTGTAAGCCTCCCGAGTCCCTTTGAGGAGAGGGGCGGGGTATAAATAAAACTTGTTGTTATTGTTTTAAATTTATTTATTTAGAAATTTTATATCCCGTTCTTCTCTATCTCCATGGAGGGAGTCAGAATGGCTAACAGCAATGCAAGACAATAAATAACAGTTTAAAAAAACATACAAATACAATAAGTTAAAATACATATAAGTTAAAAATACATATAAACCAATTCGCCAAGTTAAAACATCATCCAACTCAGTCCGCACATTGTGGTTCAATAGCTCTTAGTCTGTACCAATACCAGCCATCACTCTGTGAATGCCTGATTCCAAAGCCAATATTTCACTTGCTTCCTAAAGGTCAGGAGGGAGGGGGCAGATCTAACTTCATTTGGGGGAGAGTTCCATAGCCAGGGGGCCACCACAGAGAAGGCCCTGTCTCCCATCCCCACCAAATGCGACTGAAGGTGGTCGGACCGAGAGCACGGCCTCTCCGAAAGATCTTAAATCTCTTCATGGTTTATAGGGGAGAATACGTTCAGAGAGGTAAACTGGGCCGGAACTGTGAAGGGTTTTGTAAGTTAAAACCAGCACTTTGAATTATTATTGGTTAGCATCATTCACTCTTCCAGGCTGTTGTGTTCGGTCCCTTTTGCAAGCCTTACCTCTCTTCTAGGATCTTTCCTTTCGCTGGTAGTTTGCTTGGGGCAGGAAACGCCCATTTCATCCCTGCAGTCTTGGCTGTATGGTGGAACTGCTTATCTACGGCCTGTGATACAAGACAATTCTCATCCAACTTTGAGAGCATCTGAAGCAGCCAAGGAGTCACACGTCCTCACCTTTGTGCCTCATATCTTTCCTGCAGGGCCGTGGTGAGGGCTCCGGCTTGTCTGCTCTGCTTCCACAGCCCAAAAACCTGACAGTCAAGGAGACCAACCGGCCACTCTTGCCCTACGTCTTCTCTAGGAAAGCGGCTGAGAAATCCGCAGAAGAAGCCAAGGGCTCGGCCTCAACAGTGGCCCCCTCCAAGCCCAAGCCCAAACCCTCACTCCAGACGGCCGCCTCAGCCATCACCACTACGCCCTCCCCTTCGGCCATCAAGGCGGCCGCCAAAAGCGCCACCCTCCAGGTGACCAAGCAGATCACCCAGGAGGAGAATGAGAGTGATGAAGAGGTGGCCCCTGAGAACTACTTTTCCTTGCCTGAGCGGAGGGAGCCACCTGCCCCCCTGGGCCCTGAACCCTTCCTTTTCACGGCTACAGTAGTCCCAGATGACCTTCCTCCTGGAACCGAACCTGAGGACCAGGATGTCTCGACAGCTGCCAACGCTCCATTGGAGTTCAAGACGGCGTCAGGTTCAAGCGCTGCTTCCCATGGCTGGGCACCCAAGCCGGGCGAAGAGTACGGCGGTCAGCCTTACTCACCTTACCCCGGCTACAGTGAGGTAAGGACTACCAATATTTACTATTGGGTAGGAGAGCCACCTGTTGGGCAAGTGGACTTATTAATAAAAGACCCTCCTCAAATGCACAGCAGAGTAACTGTATCAGTAACAGTGTGACCCAGCATCAGTAGCCCAAAGTGAGAAAAGGAACAAAAACACACAAACCAATGTTATCTCTTCCATAGGAGGATTTTCTTTATAGCAAAATCATATGGTTGCACTATTTCCAAGAACAAGGTTTCCATGACACAAATCAAATTCTTTATATTTCCCTCTTTGCTTCCATTCTGGGCTTCTTTCTCATGCAAATAAACAGAGCCTTGTCTCACACCAAACTTACACACACAGTAGCTTTTTACACACAGCAGCCTCCACACTCTGAAGCTTCATGCATGTAGCTTTACATACAAGGCCTTCAACCTGGGGCTTCCTCACACTGAAGCTTCTCACATCAGGCCTTCTCAAACTGAGGCCTTTCTCCCACTGAGGGTTCTCTCAGACAGGCCTTTCTCCTATTGATATGAACTAACACAGAGGCCTTCTCATGCTGAGGCCTACTAACACACTTAGGCCCTTCTACCACAGAGACCTACGACAGACTGAGGCTCACCTGCTTACATAGAACTACACTAATCAGATTAAATCAAATGGACAAGAAACATTCTAAGCAGTGCTGGAGGGGTTGTCAAGAAACTGGCACATATATACACATGTGGTGGTCTTGCAAATTTGTTCAAAAATTTTGGGAAAATGTATTTCAAGAAATAAGAAGAATCACCCAAATAGAGATAACAGGTACACAGGAGATAGCACTGCTGTCATTTATTGATAATGTTAAAAATACCAAAGGAACTAAAAGAATTAATTGTCAATCTGGTAACAGCAGCAAGATTGTTAATAGCCAAAAAAATGGAAAGAAGGAGGGGAGTGCCAATTGGAAGAGTGGTATAGGGAGATCTGGGACATCGCAATAAATGATAAACTGACAGGGAACATTAAGGTTAAAAGAGGATTATAAAAAAAGATGATTTTGGGAAGATTTGGGGAAGATTTATAGAATATGTATATATAGAAGGTAAGGGGACCAAACCTGTAATAGAAACAACTGATTTTTGGAAATAAGTATTGTAATTGGCTGGTCTGGGGTGAAGGGTCAGCACTGGATGATTGGACAATATGTAATGAAGCAGGAGAATGAAATATTATAGGTATCAAGACATACATGTTCTGTACAATTTGTTAATGGGAAGTGATAAGAATGTTTAAACACTGAATATGTTAAATCTACAATAAATAAAAAGTTGAAAAAAAAGAACTACAGTTTTTGTGGAGTCATTGCACCCATTTAACGCTTTCAGTGCTTGGCTCACATTTTTGTAATTGAAAATACGTACTGTATATTCTGGGGTACTAGATGACTTTTTAGGCATGTAAAACCTTATAAAAAGTTGGGGGTCGTCTAGTACGCCAGGTATAGCATTATAATAATAATAAAATTAAAAACTACGGCTCCCAGAATGCCCCAGCAAGCCCATCCCAGGCATGCCACAGCCCTTGGGGGTCTCTCTCTCCTCTTCCTCCTCACCGGTAGAGCCTCTTGGTGTGGAGGGCCTTGGCTTCAGGCTCCCATCCTCCTCCACCTCCTCCTCCTTTGCTGCCTTGGGTCATGGTGGCCTCTCGGGCAGGCTCCCCGTCCTTCCTCCCTTCCTGGCTGCCATCCTTGCTCAGGCCCAGGCCTCTCCCTTGTTGGTACCTGGTCCCCTGGGTTGCTTCCCGTGCCGCCTCTAGAAGGGCCTCCCACACTGCTCAAGCCGCTCTCCTTCTTCCTGGCCCCACTCCACCGCCATCGCGCCTCTGCCTCCCAGCTCTGCCAAGCCTCGCGAGAAGCGCCTCTTCTGAAGAGGAGCTTCTCGCGAGGCCTGGCCAGAAAAACCGCCATTACTCAGGCCACTGTCCTTCTTCCTGGCCAGGCCTCATGAGAAGCGTCTCTTCTCCCGTGAGACAACATTGTCTCGCAGGAGAAGAGGTGCTTCTCGTGAGGCTTGACGGGGCTGGGAGACAGGCGCAATGGCGGTGGAGTGGAACCAGGAAGAAGGACAGCGGCCTGAGCACCACGGGAGGCCCTTCCGGAGGAGGCGCAGGAAGCAGCCCAGAGGCCCAGGGGCAACCGCACGCCAGGTGTAGAGGAGAGGAAAAGGAAACCACCTGGCTGGAATGGGGAGTCGTCTTAAATGGCGAGTATATCCCTAACTCTCTATTTTGTGTTAAAAAGTTGGGGGGGAGGTCGTCTTATAGCCCCAGTCGTCTAATACCCCGGAATATAAGGTAGTTAATTTTTTAATATTTCTGACACCACCTTCCCTGACTCCATGAGTCATTGGGGGCAGGGAAACCTGAGGAGGTGACAGGCCAGGCTTCTGCCATAGGGAGGGTAAGATGTGGGTTTGTCTGGGAGTTTATAAGTGGAGAGAAGGGGTGTGAGAGGAACCACCAACACTGTCAGGCAGAGAGATTGGCCCCATCTGTGTGGATTCTCTCCTACTGAGGAAGTCCTTTCCTCTTTTTCTCTTTGCATCAGGGTTTCTATGGGAGTGGCTACTACCAGGAGACCGACCCTGCGCCAGGGCCGCAGCAGGAGGCTGGCGGCGACACTGCTTCTGCTACCACTGCTACTTCTTCCTCCTCCTCCTTCATGGATGATGAAGCGGTGAGCAGCTGCCTTGGGTTCCAGCGTGCAAGGGACAGTGCTGTATTCAGGCTGCAATGGTGGGCTGTAGCCACTGGGATTCTATATTTACATGCCTGCAGCCAGAAAGGATTCTGATTTAGCTGCTGGGAGGGGGATTTCTGGGTTGAGGTGTGAGATTTTTGCAACGAGGGATGGTGTGTTGGCTTCTGGGCTGGGGCAATTTGCAGTGAGGGGCCCAGGGGAGCACCTCTGATGGCCTTTGCTTTCTTTTGAGCCACTCACACACTATGCCCTGGGACACTTCTAGAAAAACACAGAAAGAACTTTGACTTTGGAGGCGTGCTGGAAGATCTGTATGTTCTCATTCAAAGTATAGTTGTAGGGCTTCTAGATCTTTATGCTGCAGCCTGACCTAGTGAAAGTGAGATTACTGGCATTAGGAAGATCCTGGCATCCTCTCGCTAGCCTTTCCTGTTTTCTGCTCCATTGTAGGATGGATTCTTTGCAGAAGACAGAAATTTATTTATTTATTTATTTTTATCCCGGTCTTCTCACCTCCGTAGAGGGACTCAGACCGGCTTACAGCAAGGATTCAATGCTACTAATACTAGTTAAAACATCATACAACAATACAAGATTAAAATACATATAGATAAAATACATATATACCAAATCACCAAGGTAAAATCATGTTCAACTCAGTCCGCGTATGTGGACACCCACTTTGGTCTGTAATCAGTCTCAGCCATTATTCTGGGAATGCTTCATTCCATAACCAGGATTTCACTAGCCTCCTGAAGGACAAGAGGGAGGGGGCAGATCTAATTTCGCTCAGGAGAGAGTTCCATAGCTGAGGGGCCACCACAGAGAAGGCCCTGTCTCTCGTTCCCACCAAACGCGCTTGCGAAGGTGGTGGGACCAAGAGCAGGATCTCTCCGGAAGATCTTAACGTCCTTGATGGTTCATAGGGGAGAATACATTCGGACAGGTAAACTGGGGGTCTTTCCAGAGTGGTGAAAAGGGTTGCACTTAGATAGCAATTCTGCGCACGGCCAATCCTCTTTGGGTTGCCAGTGTTGGTCTTCCTTACGCAGAGAGAGCCTTCCATGATTTTGTGAAAAAGTTTTTGGGGGCCTCATGGGGAACGAGTCCAACATGAGCCAACAATGTTATGCAGCAGCTCAAAAAACCAATGGGATTTTGGCCTGCATCAAGAGGAGTCTAGTGTCTAGATCCAGGGAAGTCATGCTCCCGCTCTATTCTGCCTCGGTGAGACCAAACCTGGAATCACACTGTGTTCAGTTCTGGACACAACAATTGAGGGGAGATGTTGAATCTAAGCTGGAATGTGTCCAGATGAGGGCAACTCAAATTGTCAAAGGTCAGGAGAACAAACCCTGTGAGAAGTGGCTGAAAGAGCTGGGCAGGTTTAGCCTGAAGAACAGAAGGCTGAGAGGAGACATGATGAGGGCCATGTATAAATAAATATGTAAGGGGAAGTCATAGGGAGGAGGGAGCAAGCTTGTTTTCTGCTGCTCTGGAGACTAGGGCACATTGGGACAATTATTTCAATTATTATTTCAATTACTTCTACCCCGCCCTTCTCACCCCGAGGGGGGACTCAGGGCGGCTTACAGACGAAGGCACAATTCGATGCCTAAATCAATTAACAAACAATACAGAAAAGCAATTCAAACAGTTAACAAGTTAAAATCATCAAAACATAATGAAATAGCAAAACAATCTCATGCTCAGTGTTCAGAGTTCCGTATATCCATTCCATTCCATCTGTCCTTGTTTATTGTCAGATCTTTTCTTTAGCTGCCAGAATGTCCAAAAGCTTGGTCCCATATCCAGGTCTTCAATTTTTTCCTGAACGCCAAAAGGGAAGTCGCTGATCTAATCTCCCCGGGGAGTAAGTTCCACAGGTGAGGGGCCACCTCTGAGAAGACCCTGCTCCTCGTCCCCGCCAACCTCACTTGTGATAGTGGCGGGGTCGAGAGCAGGGCCTCCCCAGATGATCTTAAACTTCGAGATGGGATGTAGAGGGAGATCCGTTCGGACAAATACACTGGGCCGGAACCGTATAGGGTTTTGTAGGTCAAAACCAGCACTTTGAATTGTGCTCGGAATTGAATTTTGGAACATTTTGTAAACAGATAAACTCAGTGTTTTGAACAAATATGGAATGGCTTAATGATGCAAATGGACGTGGATTTAAACCAGGAAGTCATTGATTTTTATAGGTTTAAATTGTTTTTTTATATGAATTTTATTATGCGATTTATAATATTATAATGTAATACTATATAATACTAGTAATAATAACGCGGTATTATAATTATATATTTACATTACATGTAATATTACTAATAATATTACAATATAATGGTATAGTGCAATATAGTAATATATAATACTGATATTGTACTATGCTAATAATATAATCTATTGTATGAAAATACATATTGTAAGTTGCTCTGAGTCCCCTTCGGGCTGAGAAGGGCGACATATAAATGCCATAAATAAATAAATAAATAAACCTGTTTTGAACAATGTATTTATGTGTGTTTGGCATCTAGTTGTTGCCCGTCTGTACGCCGCCCTGAGTCGCCTTCGGGCTGAAAGGGTGGGATAAAAGTGAAGTAAATAAAATAAACTACAGAAGAGGGGATTCCACCTGAACATAAGGAAGAACTTCCTAACTGTGACAGAGAGCTGTTCAGCAGTGGAACTCTCCGCCCCAGAGTATGGTGGAGGCCCCTTCTTTGGAGGCTTTTAAACAGAGGCTGGATGGCCATCTGTCAGGGGTGCTTTGAATGTGATTTTCCCGCTTCTTGGCAGGGGCCCATGAGGTCTCTACCAGCTCTATGATTCTATGAGGTAGCAATTCAGCGCAGGACCAAGCCTGTTCGGGTTGCCAGTGTTGGCCTTCCTTACGCAAAGAGAGCCATCCATGATCTTTCTCTGAAACTGAAAACAACCAGGACTCGAGGTAGAAATGCAGAGTTCTGGAAACTTGTAGGGAAACTACAGGTGTAGGAGCAGCAAGGAGACATCAAGCATCTTCATTTTTCCCATGTTTGACTTCTGAAACATCGCGAGGACTCCTGCTAGAACTTCCTTACAGTCAAAGGGGTGCTCCAGACTGAAGAGTCAGGGACGAGTCCCCTGATGTCACCCCTTTTGTCCCCTTGTGCAGTTCAAGCGCCTGCAAGGCAAACGCAACCGTGGGCGGGAGGAGATCAACTTTGTGGAGATCAAGGGAGACGACCAGCTGAGCGGCGCCCAGCAATGGCTGACCAAGTCCCTGACAGAGGAGCAAAACATGAAATCCTTCAGCAAGGTGAGGGCAGGGGGAGGTGGGCAGGGTGGCCTCTGGTGATTCTGGGGAAGCTGTAACTTCACTTAGCTCATCTATATAAATAAAAATGTAATGTTCATTTGTGGGATTAACAGAACTCAAAAACCACTGGACGAATTGACACCAAATTAGGACACAAGACACCTAACAACCCAATGTGTGTCCTTCACTAAAAAAATGATTTTGTCATTTGGGAGTTGTAGTTGCTGGGATTTATAGTTCACCTACAATCAAAGAGCATTCTGAACCCCACCAACGATGGAATTGAACCAAACTTGGCACACAGTTCTCCCATGACCAACAGAAAACACTAGAAGGGTTTGGTGGGCATTGATGTTGAGTTTGGGAGTTGTAGTTCACTTACATCCAAAGAAAACTGTGGACACAAACAGTTATGGATCTGCACCAAACTCTACACGAATACTCAATATGCCCAAATGTGAACACTGGAAAATAGAATCTTGACATTTGGCAGTTGCAGTTGCTGGGATTTATAGTTCACCTAGAGTCACAGAACATTCTGAACCCCACCAACGATAGAATTGAGCTAAACCTCGCACACAGAACCCCCATGACTACCAGAGTGGGCCACAGCAACGCATGGCAGGGGGTGGCTAGTCTTATATAAATAAAAATGTAATGTTCGTTTGTGGGATTAACAGAACTCAAAAACCAGTGGGTCATCTGACACCAAATTTGGACACAATACACCTATCAGGCCAACGAGTGACCATCACTCATTAAAACATTGAAAAACACAGCAGAAGAGACTTAAAAAAACAAAAAAAAACCATTACAACACATGTGCAAAACCACACATATACACAAACACACATATATGCATATATACATACACAAAACACATATACACAGAAAGGGGGAAGGAAGGAGGGATAGAAAGGGAAAGAAGGAAGGAAGGAGAGAAGGAAATAAAACAGTGAAAAAAGGAAAGAGGGAAGGAAGGCGAGAAGGAATAAAAGAGAGAGGGAGGGAAGGAAGGAAGGAAGGAAAGAGAGAAGGAAGGATAGAACCAAAGAGCAAAGGAAGGGAGATAAGAAACAGTTAGAGAAGGAAGGAAGAAAAAGGGAAAGAAGAAGGCAAATAAAAAGAGGGAAGGAAGGAAAGAGGGAGGGAAGGTTTGGCCACAGTCAGTCATGAAAACACTGAAAAACATAGCGGAAGAGACTTAAAAAGCCAAAAAAAACCCCATTACAATGCATGCGCGTAACCACATAAATACACATATACACAAATATATAAATATACACATTTATACACACACAAAACACATATACACAGACTGGGCCACAGCAACGCGTGGCAGGGGACAGCTAGTTCTTTCATAAAAAGCTTCAAATGCTTCTGGCCAGATTATTTTTGCCATAGCGGGACTTCCTTGGCAGGAATTTATTTTGCACAATCCCAGTGTGTTTGGGGCCTGTGAAAAGATTGCAAAAATAAGTTCTAAATCTCAGGAGTGCTGTAGTGAGTGAGCTTGCTTTGTAACCTTACAGGGAAATGCTGCCCATTTGTTTGTTTGTTTATTTATTTATTTATTTGTCATGCCCTGCTACGCGTTGCTGTGGCCCAGTCTGTGTATATGTGTTTTGTGTGTGTATATATTTGTGTATATATGTGGTTATGTGCATCTGTGGCAATGTATTTTCTATTTATTTATTTTTTGGCTTTTTAAGTCTCTTCCGCTGTGTTTTCCAGTGTTTTTATGAGTGATGGTCACTTGTTGGCCTGATAGGTGTATTGTGTCCAAATTTGGTGTCAATTTTTATTTAAATAGACTAGCTGTCCCCTGCCATTCATTGTTGTGTCCCAGTATGTGTATATGTGTTTTGTGTGTATATATATATTTGTGTATATGTGTGTATATGTGTATATATTTGATTTTGTTCATGTATTGTATTTTTTTTTTGGCTTTTTAAGTCTCTTCCACTGTGTTTTCCAGTGTTTTTATGAGTGATAGTTACTCGTTGGCCTGATAGGTGTATTGTATCGAAATTTGGTGTCAATTCGTCCACTGATTTTTGAGTTATGTTAATCCCACAAACAAACATTGCATTTTTATTTATACAGACTAGCCGTCCCCTGCCACACATTGCTGTGGCTCACATGGGGGTTCTGTGTGGAAGGTTTGGCCCAATTCTATCGTTGGTGGGGTTCAGAATGCTCTGTGATTGTAGGTGAACTATAAATCCCAGCAACTACAACTCACAAATGTCAAGATTCTATTTTCCCCAAACTCCACCAGTGTTCACATTTGGGCATATTGAGTATTCGCGTAGAGTTTAGTCCAGATCCATCATTGTTTGAGTCCACAGTGATCTCTGGATGTAGGTGAACTACAACTCCCAAACTCAAGGTCAATGGCCACCAAACCCTTCTAGTGTTTTCTGTTGGCCATGCGCCTCGTTTGATTAAATTCCACCATTTATATTCCACCCTTCTCACACAAACAATGAATGCCGTTAGACAGGACAGACAACAGATAGAAGTATTATATCGGTATTTTTTCTCAACCGGTGTTTTGGAGGTTGTGCTCAATTCTGGCCACAGGGGGGCGATGTCGCTGCATCTTCTATAATGAAGAGCCTTTGAACACAGACCTCCTCGTTCTTTGATTGCCAGCATTTTTCTGGTGGTTCCTTTATGGTGCCATAAAATACCTCCCTGTTTTCAAACTGCTTAGGTGGACAGTGAGCTGGACTGAAGGTCGGGTGGTCACCCCGACCTGGGCTTCAAATTGGCACCCTTTCAATTGCTGCTGGTAATTAACCAGCTGTGCTAAAGCCCAACCTTTCTGCCTTTCAAATGAATGTCTTCTGTTTCACTCCAGAAAAAAGGAGAGCAGCCCACAGGACAGCAGCGGCGGAAGCACCAGATCACATACCTGATTCACCAGGTGAGAAGTGCTCACGTTTTCTGTGTCTACATGGCACTTTTCTCCAATTCTTCCTGTTTTAGGCCTGCTTTTAGCCTCTTTCCTGCGGAATTCCCCTGCCTTGGTTCCCATTCCTTTCCCTTTGCCCTTGGCTCTTGCAAGTCCATGCTCTGCCTCGTCCCTTCTTTAATCTGAGGGGAAGGGGATATTGTTGGGCGGGTGAGCTTATAAACAAAAGACCCTCCCCATAAATGTACAGCAGAGTATTATTATTAGCTGGACGGGGTTACACTCCCCCTGAAGTCACAGGTCCGCAATTTGGGTGTCCTCTTGGACTCATCACTTACGCTTGAGGTTCAGGTGTCGGCGGTGGCCGGGAGGGCTTTTGCACAATTGAGACTCGTGCGCCAACTGCGACTGTACCTCGTAAAGGCTGATCTGGCCGGGGTGGTCCATGCCTTGGTCACCTCTAGATTGGATTACTGTAATGCACTCTACGTGGGGCTGCCCTTGAAAATGGCTGGTCCAACGAGTGGCGGCCGGGATGTTAACTGGTGCTCCTTACAGAGAGAGGTCAACCCTCCTGTTTAAGGAGCTCCATTGGCTGCCGTTCATTTTCCGGTCCCAATTCAAGGTGCAGGTGCTCACCTACAAAGCCCTAAACGGTTTGGGACCCGCCTACCTGCGTGACCGCATCTCCGTATATGAACCCACACGATCCCTCCGATCATCTGGAGAGGCCCTGCTCACGATCCCACCTGCGTCGCAAGCGCATTTGGTGGGGACGAGGGACAGGGCCTTCTCTGTGGTAGCCCCCCGACTCTGGAACTCTCTCCCCAAGGACATCAGACAAGCCCCAACGTTGGCAGTCTTTAGGAAGAGCTTGAAGACCTGGCTGTTCCAGTGTGCCTTCCCAGAATAGGAAACTCCCAGCATCATGTCCCAAATGCACTTTATTAGAGATTTAAGATTGTCTGCACATCGCACCTACCTCTAAAAAAACCTTTACATTTCACCTGTCCTGTCCAGCACTTTAAAATTTTATTCATTACATTACATGCCTTTAGTTTTAAATGCATCATAGTGTTATTGTTTTAATGTTATTGTTATTGCTTTAATGTTTATTGTATTGTCGAAGGCTTTCATGGCTGGAATCACAAGGTTCTTGTAGGTTTTTTCGGGCTATAGGGCCATGTTCTAGAGGCATTTCTCCTGACGTTTCTCCTGCATCTATGGCAAGCATCCTCAGAGGTAGTGAGGTCTGTTGGAAATAGGAAAATGGGTTTATATATCTGTGGAATGACTGGGGTGGGGCAAAGAGCTCTCTGCTGAAGCTAGGTGTGAATGTTTCAACTGACCACCTTCATTAGCATTTGAAGGCCTGGCCGAGCCTAGGGCCCACAACCATAGAAATCAGCCATAGCAGAGCACCTGATGAACCAACCTGGACACAGCATATTATTTGAGAACACAGAAATGCTGGACCACTCTCACAACCACCATGTCAGACTACACAGAGAAGCCATTGAAATCCACAAGCATGTGGACAATTTCTACAGAAAGGAAGAGACCATGAAAATGAACAAAATCTGGCTACCAGTATTAAAAAACTCTAAAATTACAACAGCAAAACAGCAGAGAGGAAACAACCAGGCACATCTTAACACCTCTCAACAAAAGATTCCTCCAGGCTCAGCCAGGCCTTCAAATGCTAATGAAGGTGGTCAGCTGAAACATTCACACAGGCACAGCTTAACACCTCTCAGCAGGAGATTTTTTCCCAGGCTCAGGCAGGCCTTCAAATACTAATGAAGGTTGAAACATTCACACCTAGCTCTAGCAAGGAAGAGCTCTTTGCCCCACCTCAGCCATTCCACAGATATATAAACCCATTGTCCTATTTCCAACAGACCTCACTACCTCTGAGGATGCTTGCCATAGATGCAGGCGAAACGTCAGGAGAAATGCCTCTAGAACATGGCCCTATAGCCCGAAAAAACCTACAAGAACCTTTTAATGTTTATTTTTTGCTTTATGAGTTTTATTGTTGTATTTGTTATGTTGTTGTTTTATTGAGGGCCTTGGCCTTTGTAAGCCACACCGAGTCCTGCGGGAGATGTTAGCGGGGTATAAATAAAGTTAAATAATAATAATAATAATAATAATAATAATAATAATAATAATAGCAGCAGCATGACTCAGCACCAGTAGCCCAAAGTTATAAAAAGAACAAAAACACATGGTCCAATGTTATTCCTAGAGCCTCACTTAAGGCCTATACCGTGCCTATTCAGGTAGCCAGGGTGACCTTCACAACTGCCCGCATAGTGTCTGCATCTAATAGATCTTTGGAGTTGTTTCGGGTCGTTGGGGAACTCCTCCACCCCCCTGAGGTGGAGGAGGCCTTCAATGACCCGACAACTTGGTGTTGCAAGTTTGCGCACCATTTTGCAGACAAAGTCGCTCGGATACGCCTTGAGTTGGACTCCAGTTTAAATACAGTGCCAGGGGAGGTGACTGAGGCATCTGCTTGTCCGGTTTTGTAGGATTCTTTCTGGCTTGTTCATCCTGAGGATGTGGAGGAGGTCCTTGGGGCGGTGAGGGCGACCATGTTGGCTCTGGACCCCTGCCCGTCTTGGCTAATTAAATCGGCCAAAGGTGGTTTGATTGATTGGTTTATGTTGATCATTAATGTATAGTTGGAGCAAGGGATTTTTCCATCTGGACTAAAACAGGCCGTGGTCAGACCACTCCTGAAAAAGACCTTCCTGGACTCCACGGTCTTGAACAATTATAGACCAATCTTCAATCTCCCTTTCTTGGGCAAGGTGTTGGAGAGGGTGGTCGCCTCTCAGCTCCAGGGTTTCCTGGATGATATCTGGACCAGTCACAGTCTGGTTTCAGACCTGGTCACGGCACAGAGACAGCTTTGGTCGCCTTGGCGGATGATCTCCGTAGGGAGCTGGACAGGGGGAGTGTGACCCTGTTGGTTCTCTTGGACATCTCAGCGGCTTTCGATACCATCGATCATGGTATCCTTCTGGGATGCCTCTCCGGGATGGGCCTTGGAGGCACGGCTCTGTCATGGCTCCGGTGCTTCCTGGAGGGTCGTTCCCAGATGGTCTTAGTTTTATTTGTTTGTTTGTTTGTTTGTTTGTTTATTTCAAACATTTGTACCCCGCTCTTCTCAACTCCCGGGGAGGGGACTCAGGGCGGCTTACATCCGGCACAATTCAATGCCATTACATATAAATAATACATACAGTAATTACATATAAAAACACAGTAAATTAATTTTATAATTATTTATAAAATAAAAAGTATATTAATAAAAAGTGCAATAATACTGACTGTCTAGCCTTATGTAGAAACGAATTCAGCGAGCACAACACAATTGGAAGCCTGTACATTGTCCATTTTCCATAAGATTATTGTCATTAACATTGTCAATTATCTGCCAGCTACCCAAAGGCCTGGTCCCATAACCACATTTTCAATTTCCTCCTGAAGGCGGGGAGGGATGATGTTGACCTGATTTCTCTGGGGAGCAAATTCCACAGGGCGGGGGGCCACCACCGAGAAGGCCCTGTCCCTCGTGCCCTCCAAGCATGTTTGCGCCAGAGGCGGGGCCAAGAGCAGGGCCTCCCCAGAAGATCTTTATTTATTTATTTATTTATTGAAAGCCTTTATATTCCACCCTTCTCACCCCAAAGGGGACTCAGGGCGGAGCACAACATATAAACGGCAAACATTCAATGCTGAAACATATTAGACAAGGGGTCCTCAAACTTTTTAAACAGAGGACCAGGTCACAGTCCCTCAGATTATAATTTGAAAAAAATAGGAATGAATTCCTATGCACGCTACACATATCTAATTTGTAGTGCAAAAAACACTTAAGAACAATACAATAATTAAAATGAAGAACAATTTTAACAAATACAAACTTATTAGTATTTCAGTGGGAAGTGCGGGCCTGTTTTGGCTGATAAGACAGGATTGTTGTTGTTGTTGTTGTTGTTGTTGTTGTGTGCTTTCGAATCGTTTCAGACTTAGGTTGACCCTGAGTGAGGGCCAGGTAAATGATCTTGGAGGGCCGTATCCAGCCCCCGAGCCTTAGTTTGAGGACCCCTGTATTAGACCATAAACATAGCATTGAAAGCATTAAACTTAATGGTGGGGCGTAGAGGGAGATACGTTCAGACAGGTAAGCTGGGCCGGAGCCGTATAGGGCATGGATCTGAAAGCGAATGCCCCTGTCTTTAACTCCCCCCTCTTCCTTGGCTCTTCCAGGCAAAAGAACGGGAGCTGGAGCTGAAGAACACATGGGCGGAAAACAAGCTGAGCAGGCGGCAGACGCAGGCCAAGTATGGCTTTTAGAACCTCTCCTCCTGGCTTGTGCCGGCCGGCCAGGGAGCCAGGCCGTAGCCTCTGACACTCCTGCGCAGCGGGTGACCAGAGAGGATGATCGCAGAGGCACTCAGGGGCCGGCTACCAGCTTGCTTACATCCTGAAGGCGCAGCTCAGCTCTGGTATCTTGGCAGAGCTCCTCCAGAGCAGGAGGATAGGTGGATCCTCCCTAAGGTCTGGAACCTTCAGCCACAGGACCCACAGGATGGATGGCTTTCCCTTCTGACCTCTCTCTCTTTCCTTTCCGGTTGCCATCGGGATATGGAGACTGGCCTGTTGGCCTCCTTTCCTGGAAGAGTGTGCCAGTTGAGAGGAGTGAGGTGGTTGCTTCCTGGGCCTCTTGCTTGTGGGTGGGGGGGGGGGGCGGAATGGGTCTGAGAACCCTTTGTGTGGCCTGGCTGAGAACTCTCCCTCTTCCTGGGGCGTGTTGGTGTGGATTTGCGTTCCAGGCCCCAGCTTCCCATCTCCGCTTTGTGGATTAGGGACAGCAGCTCTATCCCCGTTCCTGCTTGAGAACCGTTCCCAAAGCAGCCCTGCCCTCTGTTCCTAAGCGAGAGTGGTTCCGAGTGCCACAGGAGGTGGCTGTGTGTCCCATCCCCGTCCACGAGCCATAAAGACACAGCACTTTGCTACCCTTGTTTGCCTGCGGGGCTGGGGGAGTCATGGCACCATCAGACTTGAGCCCAGCGTCCCACCCCTCCAAGCAGAAGCCAGCTCCACTAATGGGAAGGGCTGTGTGGTGACCTCTCCAACCCCAGATTGGAGCCCCTCTGGAAAATATGCATTCTTTGCCCCCATCCCAGATTTCCTATCTGAAAACGAGTGGGACGAGTGAGTTCCTATCCCCACTCTTCATCACAGCCCCCCGGCTCTCTTGCGTGCTCTCCCTCTTGGGTTGCCTCGTTCTTTGTTCTCGTTGTCACCGCCATCATCCGGATTGCAGCCCGTCTCCATTTCCAAAGAGGCGTCGTCTTCGCTGCAAGAGTCGTTGAACAAATTGTATTTTTACTCAAGGAAAATTCTAGTTTATTTCCCTGGACTCTTTAGTACTTAGGAAAACTCTCTTTTTTTCCCCCTCTCCTTTTGAATATTCCAGAATAAAACTTCTCGTTCAGAAATTTTCTTTGCATGTCATAAGAATGCCTGGAAAGAGGTCTGATGAAAGATTTAGAAGCATCTCTCGCCTCCAAACCTAGGACGCCCCAGTTCAACCCCGAAATTCTTTGTTAGGCCTCGTTGTTTCCCTCCTTATTATTTATTTATTATTTATTTATTTATCAATTTTAGAATACCGCCACTCCCCGAAGTCTCAGAGCAGTTTACAATATACATATGTGATACATATCTCTCTCTCCCTCCCTCCCTCCCTCCCTCCCTCCCTCCCTATAATATATATATATATATATATATATATATATATATATATATATAAATAAATGCTCTGTGCATAATGAGTACCTTAAAAACAAAAGAACCAATGAACAAAATCACACCAAATTTGGCAACAAAACATCTCACAACACAAGGAGTGACCATCAAAATATATGATTTTGTCATTTGGGTAGTTGCTGGGATTTATAGTTCACCTGCAATCAAAGAGCATTCTGAACTCCACCAACGATGAAATTGAACCAAACTTGGCACACAGAACTCCCATGACCAACAGAAAATACTGGAAGGGTTTGGTGGGCATTGACCTTGAGTTTGGGAGTTGTTGTTCACCTACATCCAGAGAGCACTGTGGACTCAAACAATGATGGATCTGGACCAAACTTGGCACAAGCACTCAATACGCCCAAATATGAACACAGATGGAGTTTGGGGGAAATAGACCTTGACATTTGGGAGTTGTAGTCCCTGGGATTCACAGTTCATCTACAATCAAAGAGCATTCTGAACCCCACAAATGACAGTATTGGGGCAGACTTCCCACACACAACCCCCATGACCAACAGAAAATACTTAAGACCATCCAATCCAACTCCCTTCATCAGGGCAAGAAAACGTAATCAAAACCCTCCTGACAAAGAGCCATCCAGCCATAGATAGATATAGACAGACACAGACAGATAGATATGATTCACACACAGAGAGATATAGCATCCTAGATTTAAAAGGGACCCCTAAAGAAGGATAACTATATGTTGCCTGTTCCAAGAGTGGGCAAACCAGACAATCTCCACATCAACACTTGACAAAGAAACACCAAGAAATGCTGTTTACCCACAAGTATAAAGACATTACATATATTAGAAACCAACACTTTAACATTACTTTATTTTCCAGATCAACAGACTGGGCCACAGCAACGTGTGGCAGGGGACAGCTAGTTACATTTAAAATCTAAGAAAAATCTCAATCAGCAAGATTCAAATGCCAGCCTAAATAAATAAGTTTTACAAGCTCTACGAAAAGATAGTAAGTCTCTGAGAGCTCGTGTTTCCGCTGGCAAGGCATTCCACAGGGAGGGAGTCACCACCGTGAATGCTCTACGCCTAGTAGGCATCAGGTGAAAGGTCCTAAAATTGGGAACTTTCAAGGAGATTCTGATCGTCTGAACGGAGTGATCTCGGGAGTTGGTAGGGGGTGAGGTGGTCCCTCAGGTACTCCGGCCCCAAGCCATATAAGGCCTTAAAGGTAAGAATCAGCACTTTGAAGGTAATCCGGTGCTCGATTGGCAACCAGTGCAGTTGCTGCAAGATTGGAGTGGTATGACACCTCGCTGGGACTCCTGCGAGAAGCCGGGCGGCAGCATTTTGCACTAGTTTAAGTTTCCAGATCACTGATAAAGGCAGGCCTATGTAGGGGGCGTTACAGTAGTCCAACCTTGAGATGACCGTAGCCTGGATCACTGTGTCCCTGGACAGACGCCTAGCCTTACGCAGATGGAAAAATGCAACTGCTCGCAGCGGAGGCCTGAGCCTCCATCGTCAGCAGAGGGTCTAAAAGGACTCCCAGACTCTTTACCAAAGATGACTGGCATAATGTCACGCCATCCAGGGTAGGCAACCAGATCACTCCTCCATCCGGGCAACCCAACCAAAGGATTGCCGTCTTTGCCGGATTCACCCTCAAGCTGCTGGCACGCAACCATCCAGTAACGGCCTCAAGGCATTGATGGAAATTATCGGGTATGGAGTCTGGTCGGCCTTCCATCCTCAGAATGAGTTGAGTCTCATCAGCATACTGATAGCACTCAAGGCCAAAGCCTTGCACCAGCTGGGCAAGTGGTCGCATATAGATGTTAAACAGCAGGGGGGAAAGGATAGCCCCCTGAGGGACCCCACATTCAAGAGACCGACCCTTCCCTCTCCACATGCTGGCCCCGCTTTTGAAGGAAAGAGGACAGCCATTTAAGGGACCATCCCCCTAATTCCAGCCACGGCTAGGCGGTGAATCAAAAGGTTGTGGTTAACCGTATCAAATGCTGCCGTGAGGTCCAATAACACGAGCAGTGCTCATCCTCCTTGATCCATCTGGCAGCGGAGCTGATCTGTAATGGAGACCAACATAGTCTCCGTCCCATGCCTAGACCCTAGGCATGTGCAGTCCATTTTAAAAAATGGTTCTAAATTGTGTTCAAAAGTAGGGGGCCCTTGCGTTTCATTTCTGAAGTTCTTTCCAAATTTCTGGAGTAAAATTTTCAGAACTCTAATGAAACTTACAAATTTTCGTAAGTACTTCATTAACAGTAATTGCGATTGTGCGATATTGAAAACCTCACTGGCAGTCGGGGAAAATTCAGGGGCTCCTTTCTTCCTCACTTTTTGAGCTATCCTGATGAAACTTGCTACAAGGGTAGAACACATACATTTATTTATTTATTTATTTGTTTATTTATTTACTGCACTTATAGACCACAATTCTCAGCCCAAGGGCGACTCATTGCGGTGTACAACATGGAAACAAGTGCAAATTACAAAACATAGTGTAAAATAAACTACAATTCATCATTAATTAGAAAAACATCTTATCAAAACATCAACAATACTACAAAAGCCATTCCGAGTCGTCTCATCGTCAAACCCACAATCTGATATCATTTCCGTTGTTCCATTCCTATAGTCAAATTACCAGTCATTGCACTTCTTGATCAAATGCCTTCTTAAACAGCCAGGTCTTTAACTTCCTGTGGAAGGGGGGCTAGCCTGATGTCCACGGGAAGAGTGTTCCACAGCCGAGGAGCCACCACCGAGAAGGCCCTATCTCGTCCCCGCCAGCCGTGCCTGTGACGCAGGCGGGATCGAGAGCAGGGCCTCCCCGGAAGATCTCAAAGTCCTCGTGGGCTCATAGGCCGAGAGGCGGTCAGTTAGGTATCTTGGGCCGGAACCGTTTAGGGCTTTATAGGCCAATGCCAGTACCTTGAATTGAGCCCGGTAGCAGATCGGCAGCCAGTGGAGCTGGTACAGCAGGGGAGTTGTATGCTCCCTGTGTCCCGCTCCTGTTAGTATCATGGCTGCCACTCCGGGCCATCTTCAAAGGCAACCCCACGTAGAGAGCGTTGCAGTAGTCTAAACGGGATGTAACCAGAGCGTGGACTACCGTGGCCAAGTCAGACTTCCCAAGGTACGGGCGCAGCTGGCACACGAGCTTTAACTGTGCAAATGCTCCCCTGGTCACCACCGAGACCTGGGGTTCCAGGCTCAGCGATGAGTCCAGGATCACACCCAAGCTGCGAACCTGCGTCTTCAGGGGAGTGTAACCCCATCCAACACAGGCTGTAACCCTATGCCCTGTTCGGCCTTGCGACTGACCAGGAGTACCTCTGTCTTGTCTGGATTCAATTTCAATTTTTTCGCCCTCATCCAGACCGTTACAGCGGCCAGGCACCGGTTCAGGACCTCTGTTAACCTGCAAAATTTACCACTGTTAACCTGCAAAATTTCAGAATGTTTCACTTATCCACAGATTTTTGGGGAATTTTGAAAGTATTTATAAACAACATTATAAAAAAAAACTACAAGAGCTATCTCATTGAATTTTCAAGATAACGGGATTATTTCCCCCAACTTTGAGAAACACTAATACATCTACTGATTTGAGGGAATCTATATAAATAAAAATGTAATGTTCATTTGTGGGATTAACATAACTCAAAAACCAATGGACGAATTGACACCAAATTTGGACACAAGACACCTATCAGGCCAACAAGTGACCACTCATAAAAACACTGGAAAACATAGCAGTAGAGACTTAGAAAGCCAAAAAACAAAAATTACATTACAATGCATTCACAAAACCATATATATACACACACACACACACAAACACATATATACAAATACACACACACAAAACACAGATACACAGACTGGGCTACAGCAACGCAGGGCAAGGGATGGCTAGTTTTTTTTTATAAGTTTTCAGGAAAACTACCTGTTTAGGGGAAGGGATAATTTTCTCTCCTGATGCATTCTCCTTTTGAGGCATACTGGAGAATGTAGTTAAATGTCAGCGTGCTGGAAGAAGCAAAGACCACCAACATAGGTAGGGCCTCTTGCAATCTCTTATCATTGGGGGCCTGGCCTTCCCAAACTGCAGTCAAGATGGCTGCAATTAGCCACGTCCACAACACCTCCCTACTCCACCAAAGTCAACACTGACACTGAAATACAACACCGCCTGAGCTCTGCGAGTACAGTTTTTTTTTTCAAATGAAGCAGAGAGTGTTTGAGGATCAGGACATCCGTAGGGAGACCAAGGTGCTTGTTTATCAAGCTGTTGTCCTCCCAGCCTTGCTATATGGATGCGAGACGTGGACTGTCTACAGACGTCGCATGGAATAGTTCTAGTATTCCATCAACGTTGCCTCTGAAAAATCCTGCAAATCTCTTGGGAAGACAAGCAGACAAATGTCAGCGTGCTCGAAGAAACAAAGACCACCAGCATTGCAGCAATGGTCCTCACCATCAACTCCACTGGACCGGCCACGTTGTCCGAATGCCCGACCACCGTCTCCCAAAGCAGTTGCTCTACTCCGAACTCAGGAATGGAAAACGGAATGTTGGAGGACAGGAAAAGAGATTTAAAGATGGCCTCAAAGCCTCTAACGATGCCTGCGAGTAAGTTTAAAGATGTTGAGGTGGGAACATCTGACTTGCATGACAAACAAAGTGTTGGATGTCCTGTAACAGCAACCACTGATGAATCTCCTTTGGGGTGACTCCTTCTGCTGTCAAGAATTCAATAACTGCACTTTGGCTTAAGTCACATTGACCGACCGTCTGAGCAGGGTCTACTGAACAAGCCAGTACCTGCTGCATGCCAGTACTGCCATCTGTTGAGGAGTTACGAAGGTGGAGGCATTACTTTTATTTAACCCTCATACTTTGCACTTTAACAACACAACCATTCAATGCTAAGGCTTCCCGCCAAAATGGAACTGTAGAGGAGAGTCTACTGAACAAGCCAGTACCTGCCACATACCAGTACTGCCATTTGTTGAGGAGTTACAAGTGGAGGCATTACTTTTCATTCAACCCTCGTATATCTATGTTTATGTACTCAGAAGTATTGTGACTTTTCTTTTTTATGTCACTACAGTCCCTTCCCACTAGAATCATAGAATCATAGAATCACAGAGTTGGAAGAGACCTCATGGGCCATCCAGTCCAACCCCCTGCCAAGAAGCAGGAATATTGCATTCAAATCACCCCTGACAGATGGCCATCCAGCCTCTGCTTAAAAGCTTCCAAAGAAGGAGCCTCCACCACACTCCGGGGCAGAGAGTTCCACTGCTGAACGGCTCTCACAGTCAGGAAGTTCTTCCTAATGTTCAGATGGAATCTCCTCTCTTGTAGTTTGAAGCCATTGTTCCGCTCCTAGTCTCCAAGGAAGCAGAAAACAAGCTTGCTCCCTCCTCCCTGTGGCTTCCTCTCACATATTTATACATGGCTATCATATCTCCTCTCAGCCTTCTCTTCTTCAGGCTAAACATGCCCAGCTCCTTAAGCCGCTCCTCATAGGGCTTGTTCTCCAGACCCTTGATCTGCTCCCTCCTCCCTGTGGCTTCCTCTCACATCTTTATACATGGCTATCATATCTCCTCTCAGCCTTCTCTTCTTCAGGCTAAACATGCCCAGCTCCTTAAGCCGCTCCTCATAGGGCTTGTTCTCCAGACCCTTGATCATTTTAGTCGCCCTCCTCTGGACACATTCCAGCTTGTCAATATCTCTCTTGAATTGTGGTGCCCAAAATTGGACACAATATTCCAGGTGTGGTCTAACCAAAGCAGAATAGAGGGGTAGCATGACTTCCCTAGATCTAGACACTATGCTCCTATTGATGCAGGCCAAAATCCCATTGGCTTTTTTTGCCGCCACATCACATTGTTGGCTCATGTTTAACTTGTTGTCCACGAGGACTCCAAGATCTTTTTCACACGTACTGCTCTCGATCCAGGCGTCACCCATTCTGTATCTTTGCATTTCATTTTTTCTGCCAAAGTGGAGTATCTTGCATTTGTCACTGTTGAACTTCATTTTGTTAGTTTTGGCCCATCTCTCTAATCTGTCAAGATAGTTTTGAATTCTGCTCCTGTCCTCTGGAGTATTGGCTATCCCTCCCAATTTGGTGTCATCTGCAAACTTGATGATCCTGCCTTCTAGCCCTTCATCCAAGTCATTAATAAAGATGTTGAACAGGACCGGGCCCAGGACGGAACCCTGGCCCGGTCCTGTTCAAACCCTATGAGGAGCGGCTTAAGGAGCTGGGCATGTGTAGCCTGAAGAAGAGAAGGCTGAGAGGAGATATGATAGCCATGTATAAATATGTGAGAGGAAGCCACAGGGAGGAGGGAGCAAGCTTGTTTTCTGCTTCCCTGGAGACTAGGACGCAATGGAACCATGGCTTCAAACTACAAGAGAGGAGATTCCATCTGAACATGAGGAAGAACTTCCTGACTGTGAGAGCCGTTCAGCAGTGGAACTCTCTGCCCCAGAGTGTGGTGGAGGCTCCTTCTTTGGAAGCTTTTAAACAGAGGCTGGATGGCCATCTGTCAGGGGTGATTTGAATGCAATATTCCTGCTTCTTGGCAGAATGGGGTTGGACTGGATGGCCCATGAGGTCTCTTCCAACTCTTTGATTCTATGATTCCCGCCAAAATGGAATTGTAGAGGGGAATCTACTGAACAAGCCAGTACCTGCATACCAGTACTGCCATTTGTTGAGTTATGAAGGTGGAGGCATTACTTTTTATTCAACCCTCATATATCTGTGGAATAATGCCCAGGGTGGGAGAAAAAAAAACTTGTCTTTTGGAGGTAGGTGTGCATGTTTCAATTTGCCACCTTGATTAGCCTTTAATGGGCTAGCAGTTTCAAGTTGTGGCTTCTTACTGCCTGGGGGAATCCTTTGTTGAGAGGTGATTAGCTGTCCTTGATTGTTTCTTGTCTGGAGTTCCCGTGTTTTGGCTAGGGTTATGTTATGGGTGGAGGTCACCACAACGTAAGGAACATTACAAAGGTTGAGGAACACTGCTCTAAAGTTGAGAGCCTTTGGGCCACCTCATGGGAGTGAAGAGAGGGATGGGGAAGCTCTGGCTTGGCAAGAAGATCCAAGCTCCCTTTTGAATGTCTCCCTTCTGGCCAATCTACAGGGATTGCTTGGACCCTTTGGAGAGATCAGCAGCGAGACAAGCCTCAAGGGCATGGGATGGGGTGAGGGTTGGTTTCCAAGCGGCAGGGAGTTCCGCAGATCCGGCTTTCCACCCTCGGGAGGGGTGGGGACAAAGGGGAGGCTCCTAAGACAATCCATCCTCTTTTGGGCAGTGGCTTAGGAAGGAGGGAGGCGCCCAGCCAGAGCAAAACCGAGGCAGACGACACTCAGCAGGAGCCTTTCCTTCCTCCTTCCCTTTCCTCTGGACCAGCCAGACCTTCCCTCCCGCCTTCCCTGCAAGGTAGGCTCACTCTTGGACTCGACTCATTGTAAACAGAGCCTGATTAGCCATCTGTTTACAACGAGGGCTTGAATTGGATCCCCCTCTTTGGCAGAATGGGGTGCGATTGGATGGTCCTTGGGGGTCCCTTCCCATTCCAGGATTCAGATACTAGATGGCTATCTGTCGGGAGGGCTTTGGTGGTGAAGTATTTCCCTTCTTGGCAGGACAGGGTGAGACTGGATGGCCGTTGGGGTGGTCCCTTCCCATTCCAGGACTCAGAGACTGGGTGGCTATCTGTCGGGAGGGCTTTGGTGGCGAAGTATTTCCCTTCCTATCAGGACAGGGTGAAACTGGATGGTCCTTGGGGGTCCCTTCCCATTCCAAGACTCAGATACTAGATGGCTAACTGTCGGGAGGGCTTTGATGGTGAAGTATTTCCCTTCCTGGCAGGACAGGGTGAGACTGGATGGGCTTTAGGGGTCCCTTCCCATTCCAGGGCTCAGAAACTGGACAGCCTTCTGTCAGGAGGGCTTTGATGGTGCAGTATTTCCTTTACTGGCAGGACGGGGGTGCGACAGGCTGGCCCTTGGGGATCCTTTCCCATTCCAGGATTCAGAGACTGGGTGGCTATCTGTCAGGAGGGCTTTGATGGTGCAGTATGTCTCCTCCTGGCAGGACAGGGTGCGACTGGATGGGCTTTAGGGGTCCCTTCCCAATCTAGGATCCTAGGACAAGGCTTCCTGGGTCTTTCCATGCGTTTTGTCCCAAGCTGCAGAGCTTCTCCTTTCTATGGGGGCCAAAGGGGACCCTTTTTTCCTCGCCCTCCCTTCTTCCCAATCTATTGCTGGGAGCCTCTTTGGCGTGAAATGCCAGAAAAACATGACTCAGGCATACAAAAATGCGTTGTGTCCCCCCTGCCTCCCTTTCCCAGTCCCCTCCCATCTATGTGGGACGAGCTGGAAGGCAGTCAAGATGCTCCCAGGCGTGGGACCCCTTGTTTACGCCAGAAGCAAACCTTTCCAGAAAGGCTTTTCTTCTCTTCCCAACGAAGCCAACCAACCCTGGAGTCCTTCCTGGGCTTCTTTGGATTCTGTATTGGGTGCCAAGGTCCTCAGCCCCCCTCCCTTCACCCTCCTCGTTTTGGCTGGAGGGAGGCAAGCCAGACATCAGGAATCCATCAAGTCTTCTTGCAACAGCCTCCCTTGGGGAGCATCCGGGGTCAGCTCTCCTCCTTTTGTCAGGAATGTCAGGCTCTTTCTCTGCCTTTAGCCAGTGGTTCCCAACCTTTTTTTTGACTAGGGACCACTTGACCAGGGACCACTTGACCAGGGACTACTTTGACCAGGGACCACTTTGACCAGGGACTACTTTAACCAGGGACCAATTTGATCAGGGACCACTTTGACCAGGGACCACTTTGACCAGGGACCACTTTGACCAGGGACCAATTTGATCAGGGACTACTTTGACCAGGGACCACTTTGACCAGGGACCACTTTGATCAGGGACTACTTTGACCAGGGACCACTTTGACCATGGACTACTTTGACCAGGGACCACTTTGACCAGGGACCAATTTGATCAGGGACTACCTTGACCAGGGACCCTTTCACCAGGGACCACTTGACCAGGGACTGCTTGACTAGACTTTGACCAGGGACCACTTTGACCAGGGACCACTTTGACCAGGGACCACTTTGACCAGGGACCACTTTGACCAGGGACCACTTTGACCAGGGACCACTTTGACCAGGGACCACTTTGACCAGGGACCACTTTGACCAGGGACCACTTTGATCAGGGACCACTTTGACCAGGGACCACTTTGACCAGGGACCACTTTGACCAGGGACTGCTTTGACCAGGGACCACTTTGACCAGGGACCACTTTGATCAGGGACCACTTTGACCAGGGACCACTTTGACCAGGGACCACTTTGACCAGGGACCACTTTGACCAGGGACCACTTTGACCAGGGACCACTTTGACCAGGGACCACTTTGACCAGGGACCACTATTGACCAGGGACCACTTTGACCAGGGACCACTTTGACCAGGGACCACTTTGACCAGGGACCACTTTGACCAGGGACCACTTTGACCAGGGACCACTTTGACCAGGGACCACTTTGACCAGGGACCACTTTGACCAGGGACCACTTTGACCAGGGACCACTTTGACCAGGGACCACTTGACCAGGGACCACTTTGACCAGGGACCACTTTGACCAGGGACCACTTGACCAGGGACCACTTTGACCAGGGACCACTTGACCAGGGACCACTTTGACCAGGGACCACTTTGACCAGGGACCACTTGACTAGGGACCACTTGACCATGGACCACTTTGACCAGGGACCACTTTGACCAGGGACCACTTGACCAGGGACCACTTGACCAGGGACCACTTGACCAGGGACCACTTTGACCAGGGACCACTTTGACCAGGGACC